GTCCAGGTGGATGGCAGCTCTGTCCTGATGATCCGCTGGGGTTAGGGGTCCTTCTCCAGCACCTCGGGGGGTCCAGGTGGATGGCAGCACTGTCCTGATGATCTGCTGTGCACTTTTCAGATTACGGGTCCTTCTCCAGCAGATCCATTCCTCCAGTATTGTCCTAATTACAGAAAAAACAAGAGAAAAAGAAAAAAGTGAATTAATCATATTGAACACAGGGTTGCAAAAGTATTATTGCAAAAATGTAACTCAGCATTTCAGACAAACAATCTGTAAAGGATCATTCAAAAATGATGTACTGTTCTGGTTTTTAAAAAACTAAAGAGATGAAATGACAGTCACACCTGCATCCCTTTGACAGCACAAACTAACACCAAGCTAAAGGATGCTGTCTATTTGTGATTGTCTTATTATTATGAGATTAGGATAAATTAAATACAATTTAACCTAAATAAAAGATGATCAAATCTGGTGGAAATATTTAAAATATGCTTTTCTTTTAGCCCTACCTCAAAGCAGCATGAGCTGAATAAAAAGGTTGTAATGTTGTCCCAAAGTTTAATAACAGTAAAACATTGCAACATGTCAGAAAAATAAATAAAGCAAACAGCAGCTACGCGTCAGGGTAGCATTTTATAAATCCCACCGTACTGTAGGCTATACCGGTCTAAATCTTTTCACTTTGGTCTATGTATGTAATATAAAGTATAAATTATCTATAACAGAGCCAATATCTCTGTATGACTTTAGTAAACTTCTGAATTGAATTAAAAATAAGTGTAAACAGTGCAGTACGTCCAGCTAGCTAGTTAGCGTCACATATTTATCCGTATTATTTAACGAAAATGTACGTTTTAATGCCCCTTGGGTTTGACGTGTGTGACGTTAGTTAATTTAAAGTAAGTTCAAACCCACTCACATTTATTAGTGATTCCTCCGCTCACTGCTGCTTTTAAAAGTGGATCCTCCGCTTTTCAGCTGCTTTTAAATCCACTCTGGCTGCGGGAGACCGGAAGCCATTTCCTTTGAAAAAACTCCCCTTCTTCCCTGCTCGTATTGCCACCCCTGGGATATGGTAGCCGCGGAGTGTTACATCAGATCATGGATGCATCAGATGTATCCTTCAAATTGGGGGAAAAGGTAGGCTGCATTCGTGGGCCTCATTCGGAGGAATCTCGTCTTTTAAAAAAAAATTGGGACAGCCTTGCTTTCTGGCGGAAGTGACGTGTGCGGTCTACGAATGCACCCGAGGGTCATTTTTTAGTGTGGTGTCCTTTTGGTGTCCAGTACAAAATATGTTGTATTTTTGTCTAAATTGGACGAATACTAATTAAATGTGGTTTTAATGTGTGTTCAATTGTTAATTTATTTATGAATAGCAATCGGATATGCACATCTAAGTTGTTTTTTCATTTTAAAAGCTTTGGTTAAAGGGATATCGAGGAGTTTGTTCCATGTCCCCACTGCTGGTCATTCAACTTAGATCTAAAATTATAACATTAAAAACAAATTAATTTATAAATATGTTATATTATTNTGAACGCGCTGTCTTTAAACAACTCTCCTGTTATCTCCATCAGAACAACTTTCTGGATCCGCACCAGTCTGGTTTCAAGGCAGGTCACTCAAAGTTTCTGTTGAGTGACCTGCCTTGAAACCAGACTGGTGCGGATCCAGAAAGTTGTTCTGATGGAGATAACAGGAGAGTTGTTTAAAGACAGCGCGTTCAAGTGTTTTAGATAGGAACAGGAGGAGAGAGACAGGCCTGTAGTTTATAACATCAGACGGGTTTCAGAATTTGATTTTGTACGTGTCCTTTCTTTTAATAGATATTTAACGATTATAGCTTGAGTCTGTCTGATTCCCCAAACAGCTGCTTCTACATACTTGCTGCATATATAATACAAATAAACAACTTCATAAACACACTTTTGCTGATATTTGTGTTACTGCTGGTGATGTTAAATAACATGATTGATTTCCTCTGTCTCAATGATGAAAGTTATAATAATAGAAGACATGAAGCTGCAGAGAGAGGATGGATATATTCTTACCTCTACTTTGTGATAAGATCAAAATACAATATTACATTGTAATTGTTAAACACATTGTTTATTTCATTTAATGAGGTTTTAACCATTATTTACAACATGTGTACATAAGCAGTGGAATAATAGGGTATCTCTAGGTCATTAAACTTGTATTAATACAATAGGTCATAGAAAATGTTTAATTGTGTATTTCAGCAGAGTTTGGGGGGGAGGGGGGGCACGGTGCTGCTGGACCTGGAGGTGCTGACCTGGGGTCAGTGGGACATCATCTGGGCAGGTTTAGGGGAAGAAGGAGAATATAAACTGTTATAATCACAGCTATTAAGATTAGAACACTATTATTGTTAACAATCAATCTATACAACATGATTTTGTTCATTTAAAAAAACATTGTTTTATTAGTACAGAAAAATTAAGACTTATTTTAAATATGAAATAATATGATTAAATTACATCAGCTATATATAATTTACTTATTAACTTACATTACTGGGGGCTAAAGGAACAGCTTCATCTTATTTACCTGGCCATGGTCCTCTTTAATTCATCGCCGACGGTGATCTCAAAGAATGTGTAAAAGTAAAGTTTCTGGATCCTTTTCAGCTGAGTTAGCTTGTAAGCTAATTTGCTAGAAGGCTGCTGAAGCAGCGCGACAGAACAGCGCGTATCAAGTGACGTAAATACAAAGCCCTCCGTAAACTAGACTAGCATCCGTTATCTACTAATGCTATTATTTTTTTTTGAGCACCTTAAAAGGAAGTGAGGTGCCCCACACAGTTGGAAAAGGCCATATTGTTTTTGTTTTGCAGCATTGTGCTGGCAATACTCATCCCAACCAACCAGAGACCCCAAGCTTCTTTATTATCCTGTTTTTCAGTGATGTAATCTCATAATCAAAAATATCCTGGTGTTTCGTCTCTGGCTCACTGAAGAGAACAGATGCAGGCTGCTTAACTTCATTAGCCCTTTGCTGCCAGGTTTCTTTGTAATGTCTGTGTTTCTTAGGCAACGCTGGGTGGAGTAAGAAGAGGGCCCCTATCAACAAACGTATGTGGTTGGAAATGGGTGGTGGAGTGAACTCCTTGGAATTCAACCCAGAGTGTGAGTGTGTGTGAGGCAATGAGGCAATGAGGCACAGCCCCCTTGTTGAGGGGAAATTGTGGAATGTAACCATGACAAACACTGAAAGCTAGAAAAGTGACTCAGACTCTGCATCTACTGTATGAACTACTGTAGAAAACAACCACAATCTTCACATTCATTGTTATTGTATTTGTTTGATTATTATTATTGCCAATACAATTTAAAACACTGTTATTGTTATTATTATTTGCCAAGGCCATATATATTCAGATTTATTTTATTATGATATTTGTCATCATGTTCTTGTAATAGTTGTCTTCAGAAATGGGAAGTAACTAAGTACATATAAGTACTGTAATTAAGTACACTTTTGAGATACTTGTACTTTACTTGAGTATTTCCATGTTATGCTACATTGTACTTCTACTCCAAACAAACAGAGGTAAATCGTGTAATTTTTCTCTACTGCATTTATTTAGTTACTTTGCAGATTTGGATTAATTATGTGAAATATAATCAACCCTTAAATCAGACTTTAGTTACACCTGGAGTAAATTCACAAGCTACCCTGCAATATACAAAGTAATTAAAACTAATTTCTCCTTTACCAGCTTTGATAACACTTTTATGCATCAATAATTATAATCAGAACATATCATATACAATTATTCTGAAATGGGCCAATCTGCATAATGAGTACTCTTACTTTTGGATATTTAAGTATATTTTGATGCTAATAATTTTGTACTTTTACTTGAGTAATATTTTTGAATGCAGGACTTCTGAGTAGACCTCTCCCACCTCTGGTTTTCTTTATAGAAGTGTAAGTCTCATCAAAAAGTAGGGTAAAATATAACAGGCTAGTCGGTTTCCCCTGTTAAAGAACCCGAAGAGGGATTACCCTCTTTTTTTCCAGGACACACCCAAAATGTTCAACTGTTTGGCTTTGCAAAACATTGGGAGACGTTTCCAATTTTTACATGAGGTTGGACTACTGGGCTTCTCTTACCGGTGGTCATACTGGAAATGTGTGTTGTGTAATTTACGGCATAGTTACACACATATTAACAAAAAAACTCAGCAAAGTAGTTCAGATTATATCATTGAAATTGTTGACATGTTTTTCCGAAACCTCTGCCTGAAACCTGTCTGTGAATGTTGTCTATCCTGCCTTTGGAATACAAGCTGCTATTTTAAAAGTGAAACTTCTTTTTTGACTTTCAAAATAAGACACTGGTTAACGCTGTATAGATAGATGAATCGCTATACAAACAACAAACAGAGCACTCAAAGATGTAGATAAGAATATGAAAACATATATAAAACTAAAATAAAAACTAGTCACTAAATATTTAAGTGGAAATATACACATAGCTACTTATAATGCTATGAATGTTGTCACAATAGACACATCAATGTTATGATTGGTTAATGATGTGTATCAAATATCTGTAATTCAAGGGTAGGCTGATTTAAATTATCAATGTGTTTATTATTATGTATTTACCTAATGTTTCTTTGTGCTTTTATTGTGAAGGCCATTCTTTTCTAACTTCCTATAATTCTGCTAACTTGGCCAAAAATATAAAGTAATCCAGTGGTGCGTTCAGCAGGGGAGGACCACAGTTAACTGGCAGCGGAGCGACTCGCTGCTCTGCATCGCCTCTCAGGGGTTTTTGGATCAACAAGAGACAGAACCTGGATCAGATCTTCAGTCAGCTTCTGCAGCCCGGCATGGAGGTTCTCCTGGACACCTGTGGACGGAGAACAGTCAAAGTTTTGCTGTTACTCCACCTCTTCTTCGCGAAGGCAACAGGTTAGTTTTACATCAACTTTGCAGTCTGGTTAATGAGATCATATTTATTATTCACTTGTTCTAGCAAGATACGCCAGGCTAGATCTTTGGTCAACTCTACATAAAACAGATAATTGCTTTCTCTAATTTTCTTTTATTATGCCAATAATAATCATAGATTCCAACTTTTTTTTAAATATGTATAAATACTGTACTGTATATCCTGCTACCCAGTAACATTAAATATGTCTGATATTCGTACAAAAAAAACTAACAGTAGATAATAACACATATTAAAACTTGTATTTTCTCCATGGATGTCAACACTGCCATTTAACTGTTTTAATTCATTTTAATATATGATTTAGTATTTGAGTCAACATGTGTTGTTATGGAATGGGAAGGACATCATTTAGAAACTTCTGGAAAAAAACTGAATGTAATGATCTTCCTAAATTTAAATAATATGGAGACTATGTTCACCTAAAGTGGCCACTCAGTGAGTACAACTGTAACTTCAGCAATTATTTCTCTACTACTTTCTTTTCTCTGTAAAGTTTTCTTTCAGTTATATAGCGCATTTGCATTTTATACAGCAGGCAATGTGCTTCTAAATAGAAAATGGGAAAAAGGCAATGATCATACAAAATAAATCTTCTACCGTTAGGAGCACTCCCCTGAATATCTTAGATGTGTTCTGTGGTTTAGTTAAAGATAACACAACTCCATTAAGTATGAAGATGCTTAAACGAAAATGTATCAGTGACCCGTTTATAACGACATCCTTCACATAGGCTTAAATAGCTATTTAATTATTGTATATTTTTCTTTTTATATAATGTTTATACATCAATCATAAATAATTTAGAAAAGCACTGTGAAATTGCACGGTTTTGGAGATACTCTTGGACGAAAAATCCATGAATTAACAGCTTAAATATTGACAGACTAAAGGACTCTTAGTTAATGACTAACTAACTTTAAACTGCTGACTTTATGACCTAATAAAAAGTGAGCAACTAAAATAATATTTACCATCATTTATAACTTACACATAGGGGATTTTCTCACCCGCATTTTACCATTAATATAAATGACTATATGACAAGTCTGATATTAGCTTTATTTATTTACATTTTTATTGTAAATAAATGTATTGTCTGGAACTGGATCATTATCATGCCAGATTTTAAAACAAAAATAAGTCGCTGTTCATGTTTAATTTGTCTCTTTTTTCCCCCTAGCCGACTGCCCCAAACCTCAGACAAGGGGAGATATTGTCCTAACCGACAACGCACTTCTAATGAATACTTTTCCAAAGGGTGTTGTTGTCAATATGGAATGTGCGAATGGATTTGTCAAAGACAGTGGCTCTGGGCTTATAACCTGCGTTGATGATAATTGGACTGAACCAGATCTCACCTGCAAGAGTAAGTCTTGTCCTCTTTAATTCAATTACAGACTCTTATCTTATCTATATTGACCTTTAGTTAGTCCTTTTGAAGTGAATACCCTGACCTTAAAGTTCAGTGTTAATGGTTTTTATTTTTTTATTTAGCCTTTATTTATACAGGTGTAAAATCTCATTGAGACACAAGGTCTGTTGTTTTATATTACAGAGAAGGACTGTGGTCTCCCTACTATTCAACCGAATATGAGCTTTAATACCAGCGCCGGTACCCTGTTTGGTGCTGTAATAAAAGTCATTTGTGACAAAGGGTGAGTTTTAATGTGAAAGGTATTTTTCCCATGTAATTGCTATCTAGCTGAGTTATACATTAATTTAAAGGTAGAGAAACATGTGTCGGCAACACAGTGACAACACAAAGGATGCCATCAGTAGATGATCATTTCCCCACGAAGTATGTGTTTTTGCTGTACAGTTGCCGTACAGAAAGTGCTGCTGGCAATTAGCCTTAGATGACTGAAGTCAAGGTGGATTCGCTAATGGAAACAGTTTCTAAAGATAACCAGAAAGTCTTGAAAGACAAATAAAGCTGTTGCCAGAAGTGCTACGTTGTGGTTTTGCTGATTAGAAATGTGGCTCTCCATTTGCGTACGTTGAGATATTGGTTAATTTTTTGTTCTTGACTGAACTCTGTAAGAATTTGCTATCAAAGTTGAAATTGCCCTTCTGTTGCAATACAAAATGATAACTCTACATTATCAAATCCTCCTTAAATAAACCTCCCCTGCTTTATTTTCCTTAATCTTTCAACAGCTTCCAAGTCAGTGGATCTAGCTTCAAACAGTGCTATTCTTTGGGTTGGGTTGGAAAGGCCAAGTGCGAAAGTAAGTCTCTCTGTTTTTGTATTTTATGAAGCTGCAACCAGAAAAATAAATTATTGTTTGGTCCCCCAACAAAAAAACAAAAGACAGCAGTGGGTTGTTTTTTTATGAAGTTCTTCTCCCTCTGTTTACTGACTTCTTTGTTCTTTTTCTCAATTCTCATTGTTTGTCAGCCTATACAACAGTTTATACACAACAATATGCATTATTTGAATTTTCTCTTGATTTTTATAAGAAGAATGTGTGAAAAACATTTGTTTGTCTTGTTCCTCAGTTGTAACATGTGAAATACCTGTTAAATTGACCAATGGCAAAAGCCCATGGGATTCTAAAGATGAACCAATGTATGGAGAAATCATACAGTACGTGTGTGAAGACGGATACACCCTGATTGGGAAAAATAACACTAAGTGCAGCGAAACTGGTGTATACGATTCTCCACCGCCGACTTGTGAAGGTAAGGACAATCCATTCATGTGGATGTGGACCCCACAGGTGGTTTTGCATGTATTAACCCATTGTTTAAACAAATCTATTTACATTAGGTCCCCCCATTTTCAAACCATACAATATATTTGTAGATAGATTTCCAGTCTTTATATGGCGTAATGAATGAATTTAGACATTTCTGCTGTTAAAGCATTGATGCTTTCGTACTCAAAGTCTTGCATGAAAAAGTGTAATGGACATATGTACAATGACAACGTTTTATTCATTTTCGTACAACAGAATAGTAAAATTATTTTTAAAGGGGCCCTATTACGGTCATTTCATCTCAGGTTTCCTATTTGGAGCACTATAGCCATTACAAGCGCAAGTGTTACATAGTGATGTCACAAAGGAGTCCAATGGAGGCGTTTAAGGCAGGGTGTGTGTGAGAGAAACTCCCTCTAGAGGCAACTTTGGGATTTAAGCCTTTGCAGACATTTACATGTACTTAAACCTATATAACACACTACAGGAAAGGTGGAACCCCAAAAAGCAAAAATATGGCCCTTTTAAGGGGATACACTAAGGTAAAAAATAATAATGTAAAGTTTCATATTTCATATCTATGAGTTGAAATATGTACCCAGTTCACGAGTAGTACATCCCCTTAATGAAATTCTGTCTGCAATGTAATATTCCTCAGAAAAACCACTGGCATGCTTTGACATGTTGTCTTGTATTGTGATCAGTGGTAAATCTTGCTCTACCGCAGGCGTGGTCAAAACATTCCAATCTTTAATGAACATGAACAGAGTGTTTATCTGTAATATACTGTATTCAATTACACGCAGTGCACATGCTTTAGGTGTTGCCATGGTGTCACTGACGAAACTCTGTATTGAACACTTTCAAGTTCACACATCATCACTTCAACTCCTCTCCAGACACTCTGATCCCAGCTCTTTTGACTCAAGCTTCACAACATCTCTCTATTCCCCATTCATGGCTGTCCTCACTCACAGTTGCTTTAATACTAACTGTCACACTCATACTCTCCTTAACAACTTAACAAGGTATTGACTAAAGAGCAACCTTTTGATGTAGGAGGATCAGGGGAAGATTTTTCACATTCTGCATGTCAACTAAAATGCTCCTCGACCAAACTGCTGATTTATTTTATTTTATTAAAACCCAAGAAAAATTCACCAGTTTTGTATTCATAGGAATGACGGCCAAAGCTATAACTACAACAGAAATGGTAACACCAACACCAACACCTAAACCTGCAGCACAAGGTATAGAAATAATATCGCCTCCATACAAGAAATCCAGTTTCACAATATTTTATCATTTGTTAAGACATTTTGACTTATTATTTTCCACTTCTACAGATTCCTCTGCCGCACCCACAACTCTTAGAGATAACACTGTCAGAACCAGCACAACAGCCGCTGTCTCACCTTCAGTAGGAGGTAAAGAAATATGTCTCCCAACAAACCGATGGGCATGTAATTAAGTTAAAAACCTTTTAGACACAGCACTTGGCAGCATGATTGGATTATGTGCATGCTGCATGCATCTGAGAAATTGCTTCTCAGCTTCACAAATCACATTTATTCTGTCCAAGCTTTAGAAGAACTAAGAATTGCTGTGATCGCTCTGTTCAAAGGTGGCAGAGAAAATGTGACAGCTGAAGGTAGAGCTACAACCAGTGTAACATCAATGACGTCGTCTTCATTTCAAGGTATTGAACCATTTTTGGAAAAGCTGTCAAGTTGTAGCTTGGGCTTTTACTGTGCCTCCCAGCAGCAGATGCTTCCGGAGCCCTCCTTGTAGCCTTATAAACTGCGCGTCTTTTTAATTTGTTTATCATCACGGTGGTATGGTGGACCACAGGGCAAACACGCTACAACGCAAATTGGAGGGTAATGGAACAGGCTATTTATTGGGTCTTGGGCAGTTGCCTGGCAACAAGTGAAGACTGCTCACACCGGACATAATATATATAATCCGGCAGTTAACCCCTTGTAAAATGTGTTTTTAAACTTTGCACATATTAAACTAATGAGATGTTAATAAGTGCATTTCTGATGTTTGGGGGAATTGTAATGCTAGCTGTTTACCCATGTTCCCCATCTTTATGCTAAACTAAGCTAACCATCTGTTGGATATATCCTCATATTCAACAGCGAACAATAGTGGTATTAATCTTCTCAATTAAATCTCCAGCAGAAAGCAATTAGGCTATTCCTCAATTTAATTCATGGTTCTGAGTTTGCCTTCTAATTATTATTGTTTGCAAGGCGGATAATACAAAATATAATTGACTAACTGACGATAACTGTCATCTAATATTCAGACATGTATCCCTCCCTCAGTCCCTGTGTCAGCTATTATATTAATGTGTTGGTCTTTCTCTGCCTTAATAATCCAACATGGAGACACTGAGAGGAATGAGCTGGCAGCAACACAACAGACCTTTTTGTGTGTATAGTGTTACTGATGCAGCCCGAGTGAGTGCTGTTGTTCATGCCAGTTGAAATAGTTTACATACTAATAAAACTGTTGTAAACTTGCAGATAAGCATGATGGGGCTGTAGATACTAACCAGGACGTCGGTGAGTTGTTGAGCCTCGTTACAATCAAGATGTTTGAACTTTATGTATGCTTTGCATTTAACTTTGCATTTGTTTTTCAGGACACATGCCTGTTATAATCAGTGTGATATGCGTTTCATTAGGTAATGTAAATATGTTGTCCTCGGGAGAACATTTACCTACATTTTTCAGTTAAATACAAAGCATATTCTAATGTTTTCTTTCTTTACAGCTGTGTGTATAATGGCGCTCTTTTTACACAAGTTTCTTCTGAAAAGAAAAGGGTGAGATCCACTGATTTACTCATAATGCTTGACTCCTACTTGATTATGCTTTTTATTCTTTTCACTTTCTGCTCCTTTTAACTTTAAATATACTTTGTGTACTCTCAGAACATAATGTAGAGTTCAATGTTAGCAAATATGTCTGCAAACAGTTACAGCATGCAGTGAAGTAATATGCAGTAACTTGTGAGAAGGTAACTCAGGTTCAGATTCTTCACTGTTTTTGAGTTTTTTAACTGTTTGAGGAAATCTAGAGGTCGGTGTTTCCTGACCTCTGCTGAGGAATGAGGGAAGTCAACAGGAAATCCTTTAATAAAACCGGCTGTGACATAGACACAGCATCAGGAAGTAAATTCCCTTCAGGCCGGATTTATGAATCACGATGTCTTTAATAATCAAATTCAATAAAAAGAACAGTTTGTGACTCTGATAAAGTTGTTAGGAATGCATGTAGCCTGATTTGACAAACAAAAACATACAGAGATGAAGGCACTGAAAGATTTGTAACATTTTATGAATTCAATTCAAATCAAGATAAAGAGAATACCTGATTACAGCCAGATTAACATTCCTTAAACATGACCAATTCATACAAGCACATGCATGCTTAACAGCCAAGGTTAAAGCTTATTTGACAAATAAATCATTGTTCTCTCAAAGTTGCAACGACTAACACTAACATTTCAGAATACTAAGTTAATACCTAATAAAACACCCTTTGGTGAACTACTAAAATCTTAACATAAAAACGACATAATCCAACAATTCTGACATAAATTCCTTATGACACCATAGCTCATATGACACCAGAGAAGACCTGAAGCCGGAGTTATTACAGTTCCAAAATCTTTAGATTGCCAGCCTGACAAAGGTACATGTCCTGTCTCCCTGTGTGTTAACTGTTATAAGAGCAATTGCCAACCAAAATATCTCTTAAAACATATTTAAATGTTACAAATATTGTTCTTAAATTGGGGCATATGAAGAAAAATCAAGCTTGAATGTTGTGTTCTTTTCATTTTCTGCACCACCATGAATGTATCTCAAACTAAACAATTTTCTGCTTATCTTTTGTCAGCTCTGCAAATGGAACCGCGCCTATCTACTAAAGAGCATCTGTTACCCAGGAGGGACGTGCCAAAAAAACAGTAGTAGTGCCTCTCAGAGGCGATGGGGAAAAAAGATAACTCACGTTATTGTTATTGCACTTCAAATGGCAGATACTCAAATCTGTAAAAGTATCATAATGTAAAGCAAAATCCACTGAAAAGCACTTTTTTTAATGATTTTTGTATTGCCGCTTTATTTTAACAGTTGTAAATACTTCGTGCCACTATAGAATTGCTATTTTGTATGTTATTTATGTTATAGACTGGAATAAAATCCTTAACATTGCTTCCATGTCTAATGAAGTCTTGGGAATGTATTTTTCCTTTTTTGTGTCTGTGTGTTTGCAGTGTATGCAAATCTTAATTCATTCATTTATGTGTTATTTATGTGCTTTTTTGTTAGGACAGACTCATGAAAAGTTGATTCAAGAGGCTTACAATGTGGTTTCTTCAGATTGCAGACTGAAACGGCGACTGTTAAAGATACAATCAGCTGCATTCTTCGCCCTCTGACTTTCTCTTTGACATTATCTATTGTTCTGGGGCTCTTTTTGTAAGCTTCATGTGCAAACATAATCAGAAACCTTCTTTCTTGAGAGAAGAATCCTACAGAGTAACTCCCATCAATGAATGCTGTTTCACTAACTTCCCCGTAACTAAATGTGACAGGAAATTCTCAGGAAAGTGATGAAAATATGTCTGACCTTGAGCGTGTGAAAGGGCTCATTGTGCCAAAGGAGCAGAAGCCTTCAAGAGCTTGTCAACCTTTCATATTTGACAAGGCTGGGATTGTAACGCACCAATTGATGATACAACTCTTTTTTATATTAAAAAAACCTGACTGAGAGATTTATATTTTCAAAATCCCTTGTAGGCTACACTTAGCAAATGGCAAATATATGTCTTGAATCTGTTACTTAGATCTTTTGGAATATTTTACAAAAAAAATGTCAAATTTGAAGTCATTTTTGCATTGCAAGCATAGATTGCAAGGCACAATATAAAAAAAAATAGAAGTTTAGTGTTGAGAACATGACCTTCCTTCAATTTTTATTTTTGTATTTTCACAACTAAGCCTCCCACCCATCCCCTCCTGCTAATACATTGAAGACCTATAGAGTTACAACTTCAACAACACAGTAAAACAGTAATATATAATAATAAAACAGTACATTTTAATACTTAAAATGTATCTAATTATTAACATTAAGTAACACTGTCCAATCGATATGAATAATATTCCTGTATTTAGGTGTGAGTGTTTGGAGGTTCATTATATCACTCATATAAAGCCAGAAGGAGTAAAGTGGAAAAGCTATTTTAAAAAAACATTCCCAAGCAGAGCATTGCTCACGTCTTTCACCATAGTACTATTATGTTTAGAAATTAGCATTTGTTGTGCCTTAGGGGAGAATCTCAGGGGTTGCATTCACAGTTAACAGCAGTAAAGGACCAGGCTATTATCCTGGCAGGGGGGGGGTGTGCAGTACAGAGAAAAATCCCCATTATGAAATGTGGTTACACTGCCTCATTGTACCCTGGTCTGTTGAAGGGCCAGGGCTTTGAAGTGGGCCTTTTTGGGATCAAAAGAGAGGTTTTCTTGTATCTACTTCAAAAGAACTACAATATTTAAGCCCTGTTTTACAGTGTGCTTCAGTGTATATGATTGAGCTTTAGTTTGTGAAATCCTCTGGAAAAAGGAAGAGCGGGATCATAAACAGGACAGGGCCTCCTCTTGGTAGTTATTCATCTTCGTTGAGTGGACAGACAGTGTATTATCAGACAGGAAGGGTTTGTAGTTTTTCTCAGAGAAGCCCCGCAACAGTGGTGGTCTTTGTGGAAGTCATGAACTATCCTCCAAACCCAGTCACCAAACAAAGGGGGAAACAAAGGATTATGATGTTACTGACTGTTTGTATGTTCTCTGGATCGGTCTTCTGATTTAAGAGATAAGTCTGTGGATATTCTACAATTTCTATTTTCAACAAATCCCATGGGGGGACGAAAACCAACAGTGAACAGAACCAAGTATTTCTATGTATTTTCTGTGAAACCATTTTTGCCTGAAACTATTCAAAAAACACCAGTTAACCACGGTATTGCATTGGATTACATGTTTCTTCATCAATATAACCACGGACATTCTAGGTATTTTACTTGCTTCGGTAAATACTCCAAAATTTGACACATCCACAACTGAAATAGTTCCCCACAAAAAAAAAACACAATTTACTCCAGTTTAACAAACATGTGCTTCAAACCACAGCGCCCAGCTGTTTTATGAACTGTTTGCAATGAAATGGCTTGAGGTTGAAAACAACAGACAGGCTTGTTGCAGCAATGCTTTGGCTTTGAGGCTTTGTTTTTCACAGTCGTGGTTTGCACTAAATGCTAACTGATCTTAGTTTAGCCTGTTACCATGCTAATAATTTACTGATAAGCACTACGCTAATTCTGATTTAAAAGTAATTTGTTTTTGCAGTATTTGTTCAAAAATTTAAATATGAGACAAATAAAAAAATGTATCCCATGATGGCGCTACGTAAAAAGTTAATTTCATAGTATTTCAATGATAGTTGAGGCATTTTCACATAAACTCAAAGATGCCAGCCTTAAATTCAGGAGGTCCACGAAGTCGGAATTGATATGAATCAAAATGTATCAATATGTCTTTATAAGAATATACATCAGTCTAGAGTCTAGACCAAAGTGGTGGCCCACCAGACCATCATTGCCATATAAGAAGAAGACCCTTTATTTATCTTTATATAAAAGGGACAATTAAAAAAAACTGTGTATCTGTTATACACAGTACAATACATAAGGTCCAAATACATACATATACTGTACATACAAAAACATGCATTTCTGTTATGGAGGTGTCAGAGTTCGTTTTTCCAAAGCAGTTAGAAGTGTTGGTGCCTTGCTCAAGGACTACTCAGCAGTGTAAGGATGTGAACTGGCACCTCTCCAGCTACAAGTCCACCCACCGTGTTTTTGGTCCGAGCAGAACGTGAACCGGCACCCTTCGGTTCCCAAGCAAACTCCCTATAGAGACTGAGCTACTGCAGCCCCACACATAGAGCCAGGGATGTGTCACTGCTAAAGATTAACAATACTAATAGCTCTATCCTTTAAACACAGATGGGTTAGTGATACACATGGCTTAACTGTTTACGAATCAAACATGTGAAATTTCTCCAAGTGCTTAATCACCCTATCCCAAGGGAGTTTCCCTTCCATTACAAACACAGGCTCTGCCCAGTGATCCAGCTTTGCAACTATAGTGATGTTGTACAAGTAAACAACAATGTGTGTTTAATCCAGTTAGTGCATGGTTATTATATATAGTATCATGCAAAACCTGCTTTACTGGTCCTCTTCTGTAGCTTCAGCAGTCCTTTGTTAGATGAGAACTCTACCACAGGATGTGAAGAGACAAGACCTCAGTGACATCAGCAAACATGCCGGATGTCCTCCCTGCCTCAGCAAATTTTCCACTCACTCAAATCAAAAGCATTGATTCCTCCTTCTCTCTCAAACTCTGCTAAGTCAGCACAAGCACAGTGCCACACCCATCCTGGCACATAAAGTACCTTCACTATCAGAAAAACTTGAAAAACATTTCCCAAATGTCGGGTTCACAGAACCATGTTTAGAACAACAACTAAAAAAAGTATTCAACTGTCTTTGAAAGGGGTTTCGTAACATTTTCTTTTATGTAATCTTTCTATTCAGAACTTGAAGAAAATTTTTGAAAATCCCTTTCAATGGAGTTATGAGGCTTTCAAATGTAAACAGCAATATGTCACTTCTGTGCTTTAATTGGGTTTGCATGAGTCCCTATCCTGTTTGTGACGGACAGGATGAACTCTGTCCATCCTCTTTGTGGGGATCATATTACAGAAGTTCCCTTTTGTACTTATAAATATAAAATAATACAGTATAAAATGATATGACACTGTTCAAAGATGATGAGGGCATAAGCATTTAACTGAGCTTAATCTTAACCATAACACTTGCGTGTTGTACAGTAAAATAGTAATTAAGCGCACCATTATAGGGTTGTAAAAGCTTATCAGGCTAGAATATATTTGCATACATTTAGCAACAGTTTTGGCTCCTATTTTGAATCATTTATAACCGAGTTTTAATTTAGCATGTTTACACAGAGATACACATCTTTTTGCTAGTTGTTCAAACATCTGTACAAAATTGTAAGCCTTTCCATTGAGGATTTAACTCTTAAACGCACATAAATATTCCAAGAGAAGGAATACTTTTCGGAACATGAAAATAATGTATGCTGAGCTAAACTGGGATGTATTACCTTGTGAGGATATGAAGACCAGATGAGACTGGAGCGGAGTTGGAAGCTTATTGTGAAAAAATGCAGAACTCAGGCCAAACTCCTAAAACATATTTTAAGCTAGACCAAAAAAGAAAAAGAAACATATTGTGAGTATATACCCATGCATAGATTCTTATTGAGGGCTCACTTTGAGTATCAAGTCAATTTCAATAATTTATCATGCTCTTTCAGGAAGTCTTCAATCAAATATGATCCATTGCAGCTGGACATTAAACTTGCTCCCTGTTACGGCCCGCCCCCTACTCCACGGTAGTGGCTCGTGGGGAGACCCGCAACATAAAAGAAAATACACAAAACATCCAGTATTTAACAGCGACCGTTTATTTAAAAGCACAGCCGTTACTCACATGGGCCAACCGGCCAAAGAACGAGGTCTGGAGGACTGACAAAAACAAACAAAAACAAGAAGGGGGCCTGAGCCAGCCACACCACGAGCTTCCATCCCCTACCCAGAGATCTAACAAAAGACTACGGGTAAAATAAAGCCGCGAAAATCTATACTAAGGTCCTCCAGAATCCACATATTAACACACAACAAAAGAGGTTTACAGATCCGAAAGAGCAGCGAGAGTGTCCACAGACAGAGGCCGTTTCTCAATCTCGAGGATACTGGCTTCCAAGCCAATATTTCAAGGATGCTACGTCATCGAGTGCTGCAGAAGTACTGTTCCAATCTCCAGCATACTTGGAATTCCACCGAGGCCGCGTCCTTGGTTTGGGAGAAATTTCGAGGCTGCACATGGGTAGACTTCGTGTCCTTAAAATCCCCACAATGCTTTGAGAACGGACCAATTTCAAAAACCCTTGCGGAGAATGGCTGAACCGATGCAGCACACATTTAAGTAAGTATGTAAGTAAGTAGTGGCGTAGAACATGTGTTGTTAAATATGTTACTTTGTTACATTTGTTATCACCAAACACCAAAGTGTTCCGTGAAAGTAAAGCAAGTTCATAATTAGATAGACATCGTGAGGTATTTATTTTCGATACAGTTAATGTTGAAACCGTTAGAGAGAGTGGCACACTTGTTAGTCTGTTCCATTCTTCTTAGTTTTCCGAAGCCGTGGCTTGGAAGCATACTGGCTTCGTTTCTGAAGGAAGTGACCTGGAAGTACGCGACTACCAAGCCAGCATCCTCGCGATTGAGAAACGGCCCGTCTGTAGCCACACTCGCAGCTGAATGAGGCTCCCTCCTGTCAGATGGAGGGAGTAAATACAGCGGCAAGCTTTGGGACAAACTCCCCTCTCTCCGGCAGAAACAGGAAATGCCGTAACTGTATGTAAGAACGGTTTCAAATCAGCATCTCTTAGACAAAAGGTTTAAATGAATAACTCAAATAATCTTTCATTGTGTTTCAAAGCTCCTTTAGTTTTAAACCTGATGTTTACAAGCTTCTTAGTTTTTGCAACGGTCTGTAAATATACACAACTTTATAATTAAATGCACACATTTACCTTTTTCTAGACTAAACACA